AACAAAACAGGACCCGCCCCACAGAGTTACAGGAGAAGCAGAAGGCAGACGACCAGCATAACAGCCCTGATCCATATACCGTGGTGACAGAGCATTTCACACAGGGGCATTAGCTATACAAACTCACAGCACCGCGAGGAACACGGCGGTCTCCGCAGAGAGAGACTCCAGAAAGTTCCCCGGTGTTCACCGTCAGTAACGTAGCCCCGTTTAGGGAACAGAGCGACCCACGTTCTCCGGCACGCAGAAACAATTAAGCAGATGACTAACACCGACTGCAGAGCCTGTGAAATCCATAAAACATAAAGGGCGGGCTTCCAGGCGAGGGATGGGCCGAGGGCCGTGGCCTGTGCCCCAAATCGACGTCCCACTCTCAGCACACCGCCATCGCCATACCGTCCTCCTCGTCAGCCTCTCTGCGAATTATGCCCGACTGGCTCGTTAGGTCAGGAATGCATGCTGGTCAATGGGGTGGATGTTCAGCACCAGCGCAAACTGCAGCACGTACTATTCATTTAAGGTGACGCTATTGTGCCATTCATGCAACGCTGACTGAAGATGATTATCCATTATCATCGATTAAAAAAAGGAAAGAATGCTTGCTTGTTACAGCATACCGGAGATGACGACACGGCCTGCTCTGCCCGTCGCCCTGGCACCCTCTGGAAGGGGTCCACAAATTGCACCCTACTTGAGTCTTCATCCCACCCCCCCCCCCCCGACAGCCCACGCCCAGGCCCGGGGGTGGGCAGGGCCTGCCTTTCTTGTGAGTAATGAGCAGCTGTATAGAGGAAATCGTCACGGGAGCCCCGCCAGGACAGAGCGTGCTCACCCCTCCCCCGCTGGCTCTCCATGAGCAAGCTGCTGTGTTTTGTTTAAAATGATCCCTCTGTGGAAAAAGGCAGGCCGCTGCAGACTGTGGCGCTTCAGAAGGGAGCCCCCTGCTGTCCGGGAGGTCCACAGAAAATGTTCCGTACGCCATCTTTTACGCCATCAAAAAAAAACAAAAAACGCCTCTTCATCTAATGTCAGGTGCAGGGGTGTTATGCCAGGACAATCATCATGTATGAGCCTCATGTGAGTGAACAGAGGCTTTGGCCGGGTCAGGCCAATCATGGTGTGGGGGGGGGGGGGGGGGGGGGGGTATCCAGTGGGGCACACTGGGGTCATAAGGGACCAAAACGGAACGGCCTTTCAGCACTTAGTACAGCCATTTTGGAAACAACTGGACTTGCCAAACTGCATTTTATAATAGCTACAGCAGGACATGGAGAACATGCCTGCCAAATAGTCACCAAACGCAAGGCTGGAGCTTTAGCCAGCAGACACATACATTTTATATCGCACATATGAAGCAAATACTGAAAATATCAGGACCGATCTCCCCCCGCCCCCAAAGGTCTTATGAGACCGGCACGGCACCCTGAATAAATCTCTGACACCATTTCTCGCGATTTCCAAAAGCATTCAAAAAACGAACGCCGTGCCAACGCCAGCGATCAGTCTGCGGTACGTAAACAAGCATAATCGCCAGGGCAGTGCTTGAACTGGAATTACATTAACGGGATCGACAGATTACTCATCCGAATGTCTAAAAGATGCTTGACACCACAGATGCGGTCCCACAAATGATCGGGCTTCTGCGCATGACTCCTGTGCTCCCCTCACACGCTCCAGCCAGAACGTACTACAAGAACATCAGCAGAACACCGGAACGGGGAGAGAACGCAGAAGGCTTCCGAGTGGGTACCGAAAGGCTCCTTAAAAATTCAGGCCGAGGCATTTTGTGGCTGGCACCGAATGCCATCGAACACACCCTGTCACCAGAGTCTAGTTACAGTATAGCGCCGTTTCATAGCAGAGCCGGACTGGGAGATGCTGGAGGCTGGTGACGGCGACGGAGACGGCGGCCTGCATGGCAGCTGCGGCTACTCAGGGTGTACGTGATGAACCGAGGAACATTTCATGACAGGAAAGACCGCGATTACACATCACAAAATGCCCGCTCTCTTATGGCCCGGCATGTACGAGGTCCCCATTAGAGAGACACCCCTAGATTTCGCTACGGAATCGGCATCACAGGGCCAGTAATTGAAGTGCCTCGGCGCAATTTCTGAAAACGTGCCTCAATAAAAAAATAAATAATAATAAAAAAAACGTACATTCCCATTCACCGGTAGTGCTACATATTACGAAAGTAGCTTAATGTGCTAAGCCAGGATGCCGTATCCATCCCTGCAGTAACAGTTAAAATTAGCTTGGTTTCTATAGCGTTCTATAGCGCACTCGTGACGTACTTCTGCGGAGGCGGCCCTGGGGAATTATGGGCAGGGAACGAGGTAGGCGGTCCCGTCCTCGAAAAACGTTACATTACGCTACACGTTAACTATGGCGACATCACACTGTTAATTACTCGTGTCGAAGGGAACCAGAGATAACTCTATAATGATTAACCTGTCATGCATGTAACCCATTTCCAAATTTAATTATAGGACTAATTTGTTTACCTAATAACGCTGTCACACCATTTCAAAGATTTCTCTTATTCTACTGAATCTTCACTCCGAGCATCTTAATTATTAATATAAATACATTATGGATGGGAAACATGGCTCTTATACTGTGCAATGTGTCACGATGGGTCTATTTAGAGGCATTTAATGGTCACACGAGTTTAAAAATGCGGCGAATTCTGTTGCATTACGGTCACCTGTGCTGAAGTTTGCGCTCGCGATCTACCGCAATACTCCTGGCTACCCGCCTCTTATAAATAACAGCCCTGGGTTTTGCGTTAAAAAGGTTTCTAGCTCAAAACTCTGGATGAACCCTGCTGTTCGGCCCAAGGCACTGAACAAATTACTTCAAGGAAATAAAAAACGATGGTATTCAGGAGTAACATTATTATCCACATAAATAGCCGTGAGGCATTTCCTAATTGTTTTAGCACTTAAACACATCACCAGGATGGCCCCAGTGACCTGGGGGGTTATGGCTGCCTGTCTGTGTGGGCTTGGACCCCAACTCCGGGTGATTAAACCATTAACCTAATTATCAGATTGCCTTCATTAAACCGGCCAGTGGGATTCAGAGCCTTCTGAAGAGGCAGCACAATGGGAGAGGCTGTGGAACAAGACCCAGAATGCTGCTGGTTCCAGCACCACATCAACCACGCAGCGGTAATCACAAAGAGATGCTTCACAATGGCGGCTCAGTTACGTAAGCAGACTACGGCCTCTGCGACTGTAATGGTCTGCAGTAGGTGGTGGGTTCCTGTGTGTCTAACCAGGTACTGGACACACGCAATACTGGTGTGAACATTAAACATGGGTTCATATCCCAGGGTCATCAGAGGGACTTGAGCAAGGCCTCTAACCCACCCACCCACAAACCCACAGTCCACAGGCTGTTGGTCCCATCCTCTCCCCTCTTTTGTCCTGCTCATTCCTTTGTTTTCATTCCAGTGGTCTCTGATACCATTTACCACACAAGATGGTGATTGGGAGGGGGGGGTCTCTTTAGGTAACCTTCTGCAGCTTATTCTCTATCCCTCATTGCAGTCAGACCAGCATTCAGGAAATACCCCGCCACGGGACTGGCTTCCACACCCTTACGCAGGACGCAGATTCGAAACGCCCGTCTGTCAGATCCCCTGCCCCCCCAACCTTGTCAGCAGCTGGCCAGCCCCGCCACACACATGTCAGGTAACTATACTGATCCTCCGACCCAATCCCCAGCCCACCGGCCAAAGCTGGTCATGGACAGACACCTGCCCAACTTCCGAGATCCCTCCACGAAGGTGACGTTGGCTCTTCGCAATGCTGCGTCGCACCGAAACCGAAATGCTACCACGTCGTAACACGTCACACGTGCACTGCGCATACCTCAAAGCGACCTCACAGGGAAATGTGCTGCATATGCGCATATTCCGGATCACATTAATCCTTTCCCACACTTAAACTAAGGACAGAACTCTGCAAGGCCAGACCGAAAAACCAAAGCTAACACGCTAACATGTTTTTAAACGCTAAATAAAAAAAAAAGAAAAAGAACGACAGTCAAGATCGTGTTCTCATTCCAGCAGAGCAGTTGCCCTGAAAAGCGGTGCAGAGACAGGAATGACAGCAGGGGGTGAGGAACATCGCGGGAGAAGGGCCTTATATAACACGTTAACCATCTCGGTCTGAGTGTCACCGGCGTCACAAGACACGAGCAGCGCGACGGCAGCACAGCTGGTCTCTAAAAAGGCACCGCGTTCGGACAGCCTGTTTACGGTAACCTTAGCTGGCCGTCGCGAGCTAAAGGGGGCGACTGGACGGACGCCTGCACCTCCGCGGTACAGGCTGAAGGACCCTGGAAGGGGATACCTTTCACCTGGCACTGCCTGGGACGGACTGTCCCGGCCCACACACGGGGGCCTTTCAGTGGCTCATCTCAGCGCTAACGACAGCCAGATAAATTAAAGCGACGCCGCGAAAACACATTCCTGAAAATGTTTCAATTTAACCTTAGATGAAGCCCTGTTTAACTGCTGCTATGGGGTGCGATCAGTCCTTTATAATGCTTTGGAACCCCCCAGTAGTGCTAATAATTTTATCCTCACCCTTGTTCATTGCTTATTGTTTCTTTCCAAGTCTTACACTCCGCACACTCAACGGGGGTTTGTGTATGATTATTGGACACGTGGGAATTGCAAATAGTCCGAAACCACTCTTACAGCGAGCTGGTGCTTAACTAGCCAGCTCCAGACCTACAATTTCAGTGCCGGAGTCAAGTGTTTGCTCACCTCATACAGTAACTAGTTACCGTCACATGGCAGCGATGTTCATTAGCACTTGTGGACCCCTCATTAAGACCAACCACAGGTCAGCTGGGTGACTCCATGTGATTTCTCTCCTCCTGCTAGATGGATAAACAAGGGTCAGGCCCAATCCCCCTGCTCCCGTGGCGGGCGAGCGGGGGAAGGGGGGTCTGCACCTGAGGCCTGAAGGTCATGGGTTTGAATCCCATGGCTGGAAGAGTAATCACAACCCCCAACTCCCCACACCCCCATCCGTCCCAGGGGTGCTGGATGCTAGAACTTTCTCACACCAGTATCTCCCCATTTGCATATCCAACGGAGAGTAAGATTTTGGAGAACGACCCGATTTCCACCATGGGACTTAAAGTAGCTCTATTCCATAGCAGGAGAGCTGCAAGGCTTCTTGGGTGACAGGCCAGTCAGTTCAAATCAGCCAGCTGTGGAGTGATTCTCATGACGGCTGAGCACCGCAGCGCCTCTGCCATTACTGACAGGATCGAAGCAGACTGACCCAGGCAACGGACAAAGATTCGGACCCATTCTTCACTTCAGTTGGCATATCTTTAAGCAGAAGCTACCAGAAAACTGCTTGACACGAGGAACAGAGGCGGCCATCATAATTGTTGCATTTACACTATTAGGCAGAGCAAGATAAATGATAGCCATACTGCCGACGAGAGGGTGATCATGTCAACCTAGGCGACCGAAAGCCATACTTGGTGCAACGCGCAACAACCGATGGAGACGTATGAGATCCATCTGCATACTGATGATAATAATAATAATAATAATAATAATGGCAGCTCTGGGCTTTGTGTCAAAGCTCTGTAGGTACACCATAAGAGACTGATTTTGGACGACTTAATTTCTGAAAACAGCCCTTAGAATGTCTTTGGTGGGTGGGGGGGTTAGTGAGGTTCCTCCATAGAAGCGGGTGATAATTTTCAGACTTTCCCCAGCATTTTGCACCCCCCACCTCCACCTACGAAGCAATGCCGGAACCCTGAAGTATTCACAAAGCAACCGATATAGGTTTCTAACCCACAAACTTCACACACTGCAGTTCCTCACTCTTAAAACCCACAAAGCAGGAGTCTGTGTGTGTGTGTGTGTGTGTGTGTGTGTGTGTGTGTGCTGGGGGGGGGGCTGTAAGTGATGGAGCCCAAGCCTGAGCCTCACTCCTTCCGCTGGCATTATATAAGCACCTGACGGACTCATTGTCTAAACCCCCTCTGCACATACACACACCTTAAATTTCATACATTTTCTGTCGTTAAGAGAATCGTGCCCACTGCCGCTCGGACGGAGTAGTGACCTCTTTCAGTCTGCCTCCCTGAGCCCGTAATACCGAAATACGCCAAAACCACCAGCAGTTTCACATTGAGGAACACGACACTAATTACCACACGAGGCCATTAAAGGAAAAAGAAAAAAAGCAAAACCGCAACATATGCCGCGCACAAATATTATGAGCTACATCACACAGTGAATAAATGGTTATATAATTAAGGAAATACCTGAACAAATGAGAAAATATTAAAAATACATGCAAAACGCAGATGTGGCCGTTATTGCCATCAGTATTTCCTGTGCACATACTGTGTGCATATATATGTATTTATATACAGAAATAATATATAGCAGAAATCAGAATAAAAACAACTGTTCGCTGACGTGGGGGAGCCCACAGTGAAACGCTCAAAACGTCAAGGCGAAGGTATAAAGGATGAAATGCTCAAGAAAACAACAAAAAAAAAAACTTACCTTTTTAACCCTAGAAGTTTGGGATTATCTCCTTCATGACCTTTAATGTCATATGTGAAATATAATACTTTGTTTAGTATTTTCTGAGTGTTGGGGGTTGGGGTGTATACATATATATATGAATATACATATATTACTCTCCTGTGCGAATGATCTAGTGGAAACAAGAAATGCAGTTCATGCGTTTCGGAGGCACACAGTTATAATCCAACAATAATTTGTCCGATTGCGCAAAAAAATATACATATGTATATATAAAACACATGTAGAATCCAGCACTGCGATCAGCGTCTTTTCCCTTTCAATAACAGAGAGGCATACGGTCGCTCTCCTTTCTCACAAACAAAACCACATTACATCCCTTGGAACTCATTCTCCATCCTTGGCGAAAAAAACAAGCCATGTCCGTGTGATCCTGTCAAAATGTCACCGGACACGCACAAGAAAACAATAACAATTCAAAGGAGGAAAAAAAAAATGGATATAATTCTATTTTCTTCTCCAGCCCTTATGCAATGTATACGAGCGGGGGAACCCCCGAAAGGCTGCCGTGGGGCTCCCGCATGGATGCCGTTACTTGCGGAGCGGGTATCCCGCTGAAGGCTGCCCGTTTCCGCGGCGAAGAAAGGGCCACTTTCCCCCTTTTAAAATCCGAAATTTAAAGTTGCAGCTTTCGCTCGGCTGCGGCGGCCATGTTTAAGAGCGGCCGAAGAACCGCCTGTCGACCACTTCTCAGACAAATAGTGCGCCACTTCAGATTTTAAGTTGTGCGCCGGGCCTCGGTGTCACCACCGCAAAGGGGAAAAGTCAGGGCGAATGCGGGCTTTCGTCAGTTTATTTTCCCCCCGTTTGTTTTTTCTTTTAATCGGAATGACGTTAAAATCGCTACGGGCGTGAGTTAGAGGCTCCGGACGTTTTATGAAAAGCCTCGCCGACCCTGCGCATTGATACAGCGGAGCACGCTCCAGGTGAGGAGTCTTTTTTTTCAACCAGCAGCCGAGTGGAGAAAGTTAAACGCGGACATGGAGTTTACGGAGCGGATTGGGTCGTGTAACGGTGTTATTGTTTTACGTACACTCTTATTTAAAAGGACACCTTAAAAATTAAGTCATTGTCTAAATAATTCGATAGCATATTCAGGAAATGTGAATGATCAGGCTTGTATAATTTTCCGTCTTCTTTTTTGTTTTTAGTATAGGCTCCTTTAAGAGCTCAACGTCTGTGCAATTGAAAGCGATGTGCCTTTACACAAAGGGGTGTGTTGGCCTAATTAGTGTGGTCTAACAGTACACAAAGTAAAAGAAAGCATCGGGGAAACAACAAAAATATACGATTTTCATTGGTGTGTGTTATGAAAGGTTATTCTGACTTCTCCCTGTCCAATGAATTAAACAATGGTGTGAAAATGTCTCAGACAGAGACATAGCTACTCCCTGAGCAAAATGAACCCCCATAGCATGCCTGATGCCAGGCAACTTGAAAGTCAACATCCGTTAAGTGGGGCCGCATCTATGAAACGGTGGGTGTTCAGTTTTGTGCATTGATTGCTTTGCATTTGCTTGCTGCGAGTTTTTCCTCTATGCCACTGTGCGTCTGGCACCTGAGCAAATGGTGGTTGATCGGTACAGGGACCAGAGCCACAATGATCTTATGCCGTCCCTGAAGTCAACAGAACGCTCCAGACTGATCAACAAGGGGCGGAAGGTCACTGTCCAACCCCCAAAACATCAATGATACCTTTAATGTCTCTCTGGTCTGACATCATGATTTACAAACCATGCTAAGATGAATTTTTTTTATTTAGATGAAAAGATAAAAATGTTTCATTTTGGGCGAGACAGACATTTAATTTAAGCTACATGGGCAGCCTTAACCCCAAAACAAGCTTGTTGTTCTGTTTGCTGTACAACTTATCAGGCCTTTGTAGTTTTTCTCATTCTAAGTTTGTTCCTCGAAAATTTGCTTTTATTTGCTTCAATACCCCACAAAAGTTATTGTTTCACCGTTGACACCATAGTAAACCTTGACTTCAAACGCAACTTTGATCTACCACCATATAGCTGCCCAGTGATTATGCACTATAGCCAAGTCAGCTGCCCCGAGAGGAAAACAGACGCACAAATTAAAGCTAAAGAACACGGCGCCGCTTAATACTGCTCAGAACCGTGTTTTTAAAAACACAAGTTAGGCTAGCAGTTCTGCATATTTATCAGGTATAACAGAGCAGTTGAACCTCATAAGACTTTGGTGGCCTTGAGCTTTCAGCACGATAGTAAATACTGAGGACAATGGGAGGGGAGGAGGCCACTTCTCAGTGTGATAACAAACTTTTGGGTTACTCAGACGTAACGTGTTACTCCAGCCCACATGTGGTCATGATGCTGCCCTAAGCAAAATGACGTAAAACAGACAGAATCTACGTCCTTACTTCCTTATTTAAGACATTCCTCTAGGAAAATTTATTATTATTAGTATTATTATTATTATTATTATTATTATTCAGGCACACCATAATTGATGAAGGTAGGCATCGATCATGGAAAATCTCCCACCCATGGCATAAATTCACGGAGGGAGACCCCTTCCCCTCAGCTGGCAAGAACTACCAGTCAGCTACACCTCTCTGTTGGGGGGTCTGGAGTGCGGGGGCACAAGGCAGGAGAAACAACCCATCGCAGGTCACACTCACACACCATTCAGTGACACATGCACACCTATTGGCAATTTAGCAACTTCAATGAACCTCACCGTGTTTTTAGACTGTGGGGGGAAACCCGAGTATCTAGAGGAAACCCCGCGATGACACGGGGAGAACATGCAAACTCCACACACAGAACCATAGCGGGGACTCAAATGCTGGTCCTAAAGATGGGAGGCAACAGTCTTAACCTCTGTGCCACGATGCCACCCACTAATTACAGTAGTTTTATGTTAATCATAAAAATGACACCCTTCATGTGTCGTAGTTCAGCCTGGTCACCCATTGTGGCCTCCAAACCAGGACGTCACCTATGAGTTTTTCTGTGTTAGGTCTTCACAAAAGCATATCTCCTCGGGACTGAAACATTTTTATTCCATGTTTGTTTTTATTATTCGATATTTCCAATATTTTTTAAATGCATTATATAAGCATATGGCATTATGGCCGGCATCCGGACATAGCTGAAAGTGGATTCCAGTGATTTAGGGTTCTTTGTGGAATCTGGCTGTCATGGTTATTTACTGTACATTTATTTTGCTGCAAGGCGCCGTCAGCAGTTCTGATCGAAGCGCAGTCTTCGTCCAAAGCCTCTGATTGCTCTGTGATTTGTAGCTTGGGCAGAAATTATGAATGGACACAGCTTGTAAATTTCAGGTGTCACGCATGATTAGATTGGCTGGGGCCCGGCCTGATAAACATTTACTGCGGCAGCGATTCCCATGTGTCACAGCCCCACTGCAGAGTGGGACCTCTAATCAGCCGGGAGACAGTAAGTGGTATGACAGGAATCTGTCAAAGTGTTATTGGCGAATGTGTGATTAGTAAATGCGTGACTCATTGCAGGGCAACTAGTAAGCGGTTTGACGTACTAGTGTAACCAAGGAGAGCAGATTGAATAACTGGGGACTGATCGGTATCCTTTTTGTGCTGTTTACTCACCTGGATATTATGTTATCTCACTATCCAGAGGTTAGCTTAGAAGGAGATTTATATTCGCCGTGTATCCTTGGGCTGCAGTTTGGTGAAATGTAAAGCTGGTCATCAGAAAGTGTACCCAGTTTTATTCACAGAGGTCAACTTGTGTATGAAAAGTTTAAGTGAAGCTGCATCCTCGAAACGCCGCGACTTCTGTACGGGAAACTTGTCCACTCTGCGTTGTCGTTTTAATCCACCTTTCCCCCCGCCCCCCTGTGTTTTCTCCCTCTCTGCAGGCGGCGCTCTCAGCAGCACGCGTTAAAAAAAAAAAAGAAGATATTAGCCTTTGGGGATTTCGGTATTGATTACTTGCTGAGGGTGAAATTTGTACCGTCTGGAAATCTTAGCAGTGGGGCTATTGTTCGGGAAAACGGCAACGTCATTTTAATCTAACATAAATCAATAAAGATGTAAACAGAAAAATACACGACATTTCTAAATTAGCACGTGCCTCAGTGACATCCCAATAAACAATGTCTGTTCTCCGTTTGAAGTCATTGAACCAGACCGTTTTTTTCTTGTTAAAACTGGCATCATTTTGCAGTACTTCTGATGATGTACAGTACATTTCATGCTACATATGCGCATAATCAAACTTAAATTGGTTCAAAGTTATTTTTATTTAACCGTGTGTCAGTTCAGGCATAATTCTATCCAGATGTAGGCCTAAAACATTTTATTGTTATGACCATATATTTTATTGTTGACATTTCTGATATAGTGTAAAATTAAAGTGTCATCGAAAATTTGTATAACCTGAGTTTAAAAAAGAACATTACGTTTCACTCAAAAAGTGAGTGTAAAGTTTTGCACTGTTAATTTATCATAGGATGCCCTCTAGTGTTGAATTAGAGAACTGGCGATTAATGTCTTATATAGACGTTCTGTTTAAATGCATCGATTAACATTAATGCATCCTCATTGTGTTTTAATTGATATGTATCGGCGTGCATTAGATATATAGGCCTATCTGTACTTAAGACTAAAGTTCACTGCTAACACTGTTATTTGTGCTATACGGAATTCAACAAAGTTTTTAATCTAATTATAAGATGAATGCGTTCTTAGAGATTTCATGAATCATGTCTTCAAAGTATTTCTTTCTAAGATACACGAAAGATGGATCGTTTTGAAATTTGTCATTTGTCTAGCCCACAGCCCTTTCGAAACTGCACAAAGAATAACTAAACGAAGAAATAAAACATCTAGAGTTTTACCTGAACTCGTTTATCACAAAATATCTATTAAATCCCCATTCGTTACTCCCTTCCCCGTTCCCTCCAAATGCCAAGTTCCTAGTCACGCACCCATGCTAACACGTGAAAACCTGGCTGCTTCCGATTCCAGAAAACATTGTATCGTGTACATTTTTAGGAAAGAGTGTTCCCCTGCATATAAAACCGGTTCGGCTTTTAAACATTAACAAAATGACGCCCCAGTCCGTAAATGATCTACTAGGTAATATGCTGTAATAGAAGAATTTAAATTAATCACTTTGTAATCAGTAGTAAAACCCAAAAGGGCAAACAGGTCTTGATGAAAATCCTCTTAACAAGACTCTGGAAACAGATGTATGCAGCGGCCAGAGAGATAAGGTAATGTACAAGCCAGATTACAATGTGAAGAGGCAGGCTCCGTTAACGGAGAACTGAGCAGACATTATTATAATCTCACGGTGGGTGTAGATCTTACATTACAGACGGACATCAATATTTAATTACAGTAAAAAATAGTGCCCCGCTCCCTTGGTCGTTTGCTCCTTAAGATTCCTTAAATTCCCCTTTAATACTTTTCATTGGACTCTGAATAATCAGCATGTTTTGGTGCTTGGTATAAAATGTATGTTCACCTGTAAATTAAATGGAAAATGGAATTCCTAAGAAACCAATTTAAAAGAGGAATGGAGGAAAAGGAAAGAGATGCTTTTCAGTACTAAAACCTCAATAAATACTTCCGTTTTACCTCTGTTGTTCACTAAATGCTAACAACATTCTTGAATGACCAAAAGCAAAGAAAAAAAAAGCATCTACAAAGAAAATTAAAATATTCCTTAACGTGCACTTTCAACCTAACAGGAATGCATATAGTCCCGCGGACTTTGCATTGTGCCGCAATAGAAACACTCCCGTAGATGGCCAGCAGGGGGCATACTGTCCATTCAAAACTTCTTGTACTACAGCATCAGTTTTAGAACGCACGGACTTCACACAATGTCTCTTATTTACTGAGACTTGACTAACGCTGTTCAAAGCCATGTAAGTGAGG